TAATTTAAGCGTTGATCAAGTGTTTAAACTAATTAATTCCCTAGATTAATTATTTGGATTAAATAAGATTTGTAATGGTCAATTAAGTTATTAATTCAATTAACCTCTTGTTGATGGTTTCTCAAACAAGCTCACACATTAATCTTCCTATTTTCTTATTAATCTTAGTTTCATACTCATTACTTCCAAGCATATGTTTTAGCATTCACATAGACATATGAGGTTAACAATTAAGTGATGTTCATGCAACCTAATTGCCTTCCAATTAACAGAAAATAGTAGTGATTAACACATAAGGTTCTTTAACAAACTTAATTTAATAAATCACCAATAGACAATTAAACAAAAATTGATAATTAAACCATAGGAGTTCTTTGGTATTCCCCAAACAGAAACAAAAACGAGTTTAGTTCATAGTTGCAGTAGAAACAAGCATAAAAACAAAGTTTATGAGAGCAAACATGTTTAATTCCTAAGTCTAAGTGATGGAATCAACCTAATTGCTTGAATTCTTCCAATTCTTGAAGCTTAGGGTTCTCCAGCGCCTTCTGAACCTTTTAGTCGCAGCTAATCCTTCAAAATTCGCCAGGGGTTCTGTCCCATGTGATAAGGATTCGTCTTTTAAAGATATCCCAAAACAGAGGGTACTCGGCGAGTAGCAGAATCAACTCGCCGAGTAGGTTAATACTTATCCGTCTTTAGATCAGCAGTCGTATATATCTCCTGGCATCTCATCGCGTACTCGCCGAGTAATGCCGACCTACTCGCCGAGTAAGTCTCTCTTTTCATTCTTTAACCTTCACTTGCTTTCCCTTTTCTCCTTTTTGCCTCCAAGCATATCTTTTGGACTGAAAACACAATTCAAAGCATTTTAAGTACCTTTTGTCCATATTATTCTCATAACTAACCAAAAATAACCAAGAATATATGTTAAATAATTAACTAATTATGCACATATCAAACATTACCACAAACTATTTTGGTTCATAAAAAATGTTTTTAATGATATGGTAATGTTAATCCCCATCCAATAACAAGATATTTGTCAAATTCTAAGATATCTACTTGTTTTGTGTAATACTAATTATTTATATAATTTGAAGTTATCATGAAATATGAATCAAATTAGTCAAATTCGTAAATGATCATCCTATCATAATTGGATTAGTTAATTTGTAGTACAATGTGTGAAAATTCGCCTAAGAAGGCGTACAATACATAGAGACATATATGATCCGACAGCATAACGGCTTTATGAGTAGTGTAGTCACTTAATCATAAAGTCGGTCCTACATAAAATAGTACATAAAAGAGAACCACAACAATAGTGGTGGTGGGTGGAGCTGAGCCTGGTCGCGATGGGAAGTGTCTGGTGGGGCTAATGATCAGATGCCAAAATGGCGTGCTAAAAGGTCAGCCAATTCACTCATCTCCTGAGTGATTTCGTCTCTCTCTTGCTCTGCCCGAACTGCTATTGCTTCTGCTGCAAAAAGTTGTTGCCTGAGAATGGCAACTTCCTCCTCCAAGGAGCGCATCCGGTCTGTGGGGTCCTCCTGTGCAATGTGCGAATCTGGTATCATCTCTAAAGGGTGGGATTCACTAGGGATTTCCCCAATGCCCTCTACCTCTCCTGTCTCCTCATTGGATACCTCGTCCTCGTAATCTGTCTCTAGATACTCCTCAAGTCCTATCCCTAGATCTCCCTCTTGAACTATTCCAGGTTCCTCCTCCATCCACTCGTGGGACACCAAAGCCTGATAATAAAGGTTACCATGCTGGTGTTCAACCATGAGGTCTACGCGAGAAGTAGAGGTGTGAGAAGAGGGTAGAAAGTGTATGTGCGATGAGTATACGTTATCCCAAAATACCCCTATAGTATTTTAATTATTTATATTTGGTTCCTTAAAAACTTTTGGATATGAAGTTGGTAAGTTTCTAGATTCATTGCCAACCATGATCACTCCCGAGTACATGTTGGCCGTATTTTGAATAAATATAGTTGATCAGACTATATTTATCCCAATACGGCTACATAACTTTCCAGGTTTAATTACGATGTTCAATTCTTCCATAAACTTTTATTGTTATTGTAATAATGCACACATAGGCAGGTATTTTATTTTTGTTTTTAGGATTAGTTTTTAAAATTTAAAATTAGGATAATATCGTTGGTTAGTTTGAAAAAAAGGATAATGTTTATAACAACCCAAAAATACATTATTTACCAAAACAACCATTGAGTTAAAGTTAATACCAAACAACCCTTAATACATATTGTTTATTATGAAAGCATTTTACTTTGAAAAGTCTTCAAATTATGACATTGTATTTTTATTTTCTTATTAAAAACACATTTCATTTGGAAAAGCCGTGTACTTTATTCAATTATTTGTTTGTCATTGCAAGTATGCTTTATCCAGGAGACTGATGAGATTTTGCTTAAAGAGGAATAGGTAAGTGTTAATAGTATCTACCATTATATTGTTTTTGTGTCTCGAATTGCATGTCATGTGTGCAAGATCTCCATTATTAATAAGCTATATGTTTGTAAGACCCAAACTGCTTTTCACTGTAAATGATCCTGGACTACTCCAACTGGTGTAATACATGGGTTGGCAGGTAAACCCTATCCCACCTTATAGTTTAAGTTTTTTAAAGTTTCTGCCATTTTTTATGTTCAAGTGTTGCTGTTGAATGCAAGGAATAACAATATACATTCATATATTGCGTTATAATCTCTTTTGATTCTCTTAGTTTTTATTTATATACAATTCATTGTATAAAATGGTTAAAAATAGTAAAATTATTAAGAAAAGGTAGGATGCTATAACATAAAAATAATGAAAGTATCCCTTGAAGACTTCATAAAACAGTAAATTTCTAAACAATCAATACCATAAAACATCAAACTTAAATCAAACAATCTAGGGAAATATAAAACCATAAAAATCTGCACGTGAGAAAACACTTCTAATAAAAAAAATACTTAGGTGTCCACAACTACATCGTCCTTATCCCTAATTGGTTGATTTTTGGCTGAAGCATTCATCTAATCGTGATGGAAAGAAATTTGAAGGCATTAATAATGTTAATTCAAAGAATTAAGTAAAAATAGTCATAAAAATAATAAAAAACATTGTTGGGGTCCCTATGAAAAAAATATTATCTCACCCGACATTATCACATTTTTCATCGTCTTCCTCATCATGAAGCTTATAATCCTTGTTTGGCGTAAGAACCATGACTCGGGGTCTCTTGTTTGGCCGTGTCAATATTGTTGGTGTTGTTGAATCGCTTGTATTAGCTGTTTTCGTAGTTTCAACACCTAACTCTTGATCTTGAGAATTTAATACATCAAAAACTTCGTCCCATTTCCAGCTTAGCAGCGCCTGCTCTCTTTTCTTTTATTTCTCAAAATTATATTGTTGCAGCATGAATTGAACACATTCCTCTTGTTCTTTAAAATTTTCATTGGTAAAATGCCTCGTTGTAGCTGTGGGGTATATTAATATTAGTATCAAATAGAATACAATACATATGATAAAATGGAATAAAAATCGTCGAATAAAAAATGAAATACCGATTGATTGCAGAAATTTTGTATTAGAAGTTGAGTTTTACAGAATCGCACTTAAGACTATTTATACTTTATTTTTCCGCTAAATCACAATCTTATTCCAAACGTTTAAGAATTAACTTATTTAAAATTTGAAGCATTTAATCGTGAATGTAATCAATATATTATTTTTACCCAATTTTAATGGCAATGAAGGGACTACTTCTGCTCTTTTTTTAATATTTATTTTTGTATAGTGATGTATATCAACAAGAACATATCAATGGGTGCAAGCATCTACCATGTTTCTGCATATAGAAATTTCAATATGATATTCTCTGGAAGATAAATTAGAAAATTAGATCAACTATCTAAAATGACCATCTATCTTGTTTTCACAACCTCATACTTTCATTTCTATGTATTACACCATTACACTTTCAATATTTTTCTCAATAAAGCGTTATGCTTTAAAAAATATACAATGTTGCAATAAGAAATGAAAGTAGGATATTATAAGAAACCAAAATAACCCATGAGTTTAACTATAATACCATGGGCCAATAACTATGTGGTTATTTACCAAAATAGTCCATGAGGTTTCTAAAATGCATTTTCTGTTGACTTTTCAAAATAAAATGCTCAAATAATATACAAAAAAGGATACATTATCATGAATGATTATAGAATTATTTATTGGGTTGAAATATTGTCCTGTCACATTTATTTATCGGGTTATTAAATCAATATATATATTTTTTACAATAACAGCCCATGAGCTAAAATATATTACCAAACAACCCATGAATATATAATTATATTCAAAAAAGCCGTTGAGTTTAAAATTAATACTAGACAACCCCTTAATACATGTTTTTTTTTTTATTATGTAAGATGTTTACTTTGAAAAGATTAAATTATAAATTTGTACTTTCATTTTTTTGTTAAAAATAGATTTCATTAGTAAAAGTGATGTTATCGAACTGAAGTTTTTATTTAAAACACATTTGACTTAAATTTACTTTGTTTTTCTTATATAATGTTAAAAAGTGGATCTCTGATAAAATTCTACTTTCAATATTTTTCTAAATATGGCTTTGTATTTATTTAAAGAAATTTTACAATCTTGTAATGAGAAATGAAAGTAGGATGGCATGATAAACAATAAAGAATAAACAAATAAAGTATGGAAAATATGATTCAAAACCATAAAATTCAATAATAATCATAAAAACACATAAAATCCCAATATATAAACATCTAAAACCATAGAGGTATAAAGATAAAATACCAAATATCCGACTTCCTATAACCAAAAGTCATTCAAATTATTAAAAAACAAAATTAACGATCTCTCTTGCTAGGCTCAGTCTTCACCCGACTCTGATTCATCATATACGAACGAATGTGGCTTGAAATGTACATCATTTTCAGTCAGATTTAGCTAGATCACACCTACATCATCTTCAGTGGGATGTGGCACATCATCTTCACCATGTATTCGTTGGTTCACAACTACACGTAACTCCAACCCATATATGCAAAAAGTTATTTGAAAATAGTAATAATAGACACCTAAAATTTAAACATATTTAGAAATAATCAATTTAACAATGAAGTGATTAAAATTCAACATATAATATATAAACTAAATTAGTGTTATTCAATTATGAATAACTGTTTAAATACAATTGAAATTATCATGACATACCGATAATATTTGTCATTTGGTAGATGACTAAGCTTAGAGAATCTATTTCCGCTCTGAATTGTGAGTCGGGGCATTTTCAACGTTTTTATCGAGTCAGATGTATCTTCTGTATCCACATCTTCATCAATCAACTGTTGTTGATTATCAGAACTTACAAGATCCACCACTTCATTCCATTTCCAAGATTGAAGTGCCAAATCACATTTTTTTGGATGAGAGAAAGTTGTTTTTCACAAGTTTCATGTTCTGATGTTTCCACATCCATGTTAAAGGCATGCATGATGGCTGCCAAAGCAAAAAAGATTAGGAATTAATATAACTCAACATAAATTAAATATGGAAGGCAAAACAATAACAAATAGCTGAACCTACTTTTTGATAGTTGGGATGTTGAATTTGACTGAGAAACAGGTTGGAATATGGCGGCAGTACTATATGTATATAATGATGTTCCTCATAAAGTTTGTTTGTTATTAAGGGATAAAATATGTATTATTTAAATTTTGAATTTTAAATATTATAATTAGTTTTAATAAATAAATGTGATAAGATTAATATTCGAATATATAAGTTTTATACTTGAAGCTTATAACTTGTTTGGATAGATAAGTAGGATAAGATTTATAAATTTATAAGTAGGATAATGTCAATGTAATAATCAACATTATGTAGTTAGGATCGATATTGTAGAAAATTTTAGGATATGTTTTTTACAATTAAACTTAGGATAATGTCAAATATACTAATTTTGTTTCTTTTTTATGTATTGTCCATTTTTAAATATTTGAATTTCAAAATTTATAAAACTAAAAGATGGATATTGTAAATCTAAAATATATAATTTTAAATTATAGCATTAGAATTTTATTTTTCTTGTAATCGCACTGTACATTGAAAAAGTTTAAAGTACAATGATATAATGAAAGTATTTATCTATAACATGTGCTGTCCAAAACATCGAACTAAAAATATATGAATGATCCTAAGAAATAGCAACCCACTTTAATTTACCCATAACAAATAGCAACTCAATTAAATTTATGAAATTAGGATGTTATTTGATGCATTGGTCGAAAGTTTAAAAATAATAAAGTTTTGTAATGATGAAAAAAAAATCAGAAAATTTAAAATGTTTTGGTTATAGTAATATTGTAGTAAGCTTAGATATATAAATATGATTAAACTTTGAATTTGATCCATTATCTAATGTTTGAATTTTAAGTTTTGTAATTAGTTTGGATATATAAATATGATTAAATTTTGAAATTTATATCTTATAATTAGTTTGGATAAATAAAAATGATAAGATTAATATTTGAATATATGTTGTTTTGGAGGGTAATATATATATATATATATATATATATATATATATATATATATATATATATATATATATATATATATATATTACCAAACAGCCCATGAATATATGATTATTTAGTAAAACAACCCATGAGTTTAAAATTAATATCAAACAACCCTTTAATACATATTGTTTGTTATGTAAGCATATTACTTTGAAAAGTAATAGCACCCAACACATTTCATTGCTACAGACATCGAGAAACTGCATGTAGATCAAGTTGTATTTTTCCAGACGGTGTTCGGTGTTCCTCCTTCTCTTTTTGAGCACATTAAGTTGTTCAAATCCGCTAAAGAGATTTGGGACACACTTCAATATCTGCTCGAGGGATAAGAAAACATGAAGGATAAGCATCTGACTTCGGTTGTCAACGAGTCCGATACCTTCACCACTACTCCCGGTGAATCAGTTGCCTCGATTTCCAGTAGGTACATAATAATCGCCAACAACAAGACAACTTATGGGATTGTATGAACTCCATTAGAATATAATCTCAAGTCCATCAAAGTTGTTATCCCACCTATTCCATCTGTTTAACCCACTCAACCAGTTCTACCTGTTCCAACTAATTCCAACTATAAGTTTGATGGACACCCCGATCCTGAAGCCATGGACTCCGAACATCGCTTTCAATAAGAGTTTACTTTACTGTCCATGAAATACAAGCATCCATGGAATCCCAGTCACAAACCATATCATAACCGTTTCCAAGCCCCTCACCAGAATAATCACCAACCATTTCCTGAACCTTTAGAGAACCCACCTGCATACAAACCCAACATCTCATCATCAGGTAATCCCATGATAATCCAAATTCAGAAAACCCAAGATAGTTTGTCACAAGTGTGGTCATGGTAACCATTTTGCCAAAGATTGTATGGCTGAAACTACACATAAACCAAAGATCAAGGATTCTGTATACTATACCTACTGAGCCCAAGAGATAGTTGCAAGTGAAAAAGCTTTTGTCACTACTGTATCAAGAAATGTTGAAGGGTATTGGTCATCTGGAGATGAGGATGATGTAAGCACTAGAAGCAACATGTGTCTTTTGCCTAGACAAACGATCGAATGTGATTAAGGCTATTGATTATCAGGTTCAGAAGGAGATGATGAAGATGTTGAGCCAAACCTTTGCTATATGGCAACCAATGATCCACCAAGCAGAAGCATCATTCAGCAGGTAAAATCTATGATTACTGATAATAATTTTGATTTATCTCTTTGTGAACCATATCTAATCAGATATGACCATCATCCATAAAGCCCATGAGTCTGACCTAGAAGTGAGTGAGAAGATGGAAAGTGAATTGAATCATTTTATATTACGTTTCGAAGATAGATAGCTTAATATAAAATCATTAGAATGAGAGCTTGTAATGTCTCAAGATAAATGTTTAATTTTAAAAGACAAATGTGAAATCACTTATTCTGAAAAGAATGTTTTAATTTCTGATAGCAAATGTCTTAATGCCAAAATTGATGCTTTACATCCTTCCATAGATATTCTTTAGCAAATGAATGGATGCCTAATTTTCATCATCCTTGGTCCAAAGCACCTGGTCTCAGAAGCGAGTTTTTGAAACCTATTGCTCGTCCCTTGAAGTAGTTACAAAATCTAACTTTTATGGGCAAAATTCCGAACCGCAAACATTCAGATACCCCTGTCTCACCACTGTCACCCCTTCCTCAGACCTTGGACTAATTTCAATCTCTGATTCCTGAGTTTCAACCCATAGTTGTCAAATATCTTGATTCTATACCTTTTCCACCTCTGATACACCTAGACCTGAATCAGACCTCAGAATCCTTCCCTAGCATCACCTATGCTAGAGTTCAGCTTCCAAACTTTGGTCCTCCTAAAAATTTTGTTGTTGGGGAAATAATTATTGAGACAACTAGACCTGACTCTGATGGATCAGATTTCGTTTGGGCATCTTTAGATAGTGACGTTGAAGAAAAAATCTTAGGTGATGATTCATTTGACTCGTGAGTTTTGTAACACCTGGACTCCCAAGTATATTATTTTTGGGATCTATTGAGAAACTCGACGAGTTGGTGCCTCAACTCGTCAAGTAAAGACGAATTGACCACGTGGGTTTAATAACCAACTCAACGAGTCAGAGACCCGAATCGCTGAGTAGGCGCTGTGAGATGAAACCCTAAATCTTCGGGGTTGGGGCCTATTTAAGAGAACTTATGTTCTCATTTCCGCCTCACCAGCTGCCCAACTCCCTTGTGTAAAATCCTAAACGTTTGTAGTGAGCTAAGAGAGTTATAGAGCTAATCTTTGAATATTCTAGTGCATCTTTTGAGGAGAAGAGGGGATTATCCAACAAGGAACGAGGAGAAATTGTTGGATCTAGTGCTATTTCGTCTAGAGCTTCTGTGGAAGTTAAAAAGCCTACACCTTTCTCATCTTATTGGTTAGATATCATGATTATGGAAGTTAGGGCTTTTACCACCTTTTATTCGGACTTTGAGTGCATTGAGCTTATCAAGAGGTCTAGACTTCAGATCTTGACCTTGTGAGGTCCATAGAGTCCAAAGGTCCCAACTTTATTCAACCATATAAGAGTTATTGTGCTTAAATATCCTTGTTAGAGTTGTATTGGCATTTTGGAGCAAAATATGCCATGCATTAACGTAAAGATCGAAGCTTTACGTGACATTCGATCCTTGGGAGCCTAGATGTAGAGTTTGGAGTGGTAGATCTACCTTAAAACATCTTAATAAGAATGCAGATTGAAGGGACTCACCGAGTTAAAGATCTGACTCGATGAGTCTGCTATGGTTTTCTCCCGATGAGTCTGGACATGGGTAACTCGGTGAGTTGACGAGACAACTCGACGAGTTAAATTGGATTTTCACGATATTTCAAAAGAAACAAGGGGACTCGAAGAGTCACATAGATGCACTCGGCGAGTCAGGTCAACATGGACTGCTGACTTGAGTGTTGACTTCTATTGACTTTAGGGTTTGGTCAAGACATGGATTATGAGGGAAATGGAGAGGTAAAATGGTCTTTTACCCATTCCAAGATTTAGAGAGAGAGAGAGAGATAGAGAGAGAGAGAGAGAAAGATAGAATATCCTTTGGTTTATTTAGAGTTGAGAATAGAGTATTAATTAGAGAGAATTATCCTATGTGTTAGGTGGAGGCTAGTTCAAGATTCATGCACGAGGTTATTACTTGCTTGCTTACCAGGTGAGTCTTCTCATTATGTGACAACCCGATATTTCGAGGCAATATGATGGAACGCAAGTCAAATTTAGGTCAAAATTTAACTTTCCAAAAATCTTATTTGTGTTAAATAAAGTAGTAGGAATTGTGTCAAGGTTTTCATACATATAAAGAACCCTAAAAACCGAGTTATAACGAAGAAGTTATGACCAACCGAAGATTCTCGGCACAACCGGCAATACTGATAGACGTAAAATGTGAAGTTTCAATACAATAGTTTTTGGCCTTAGGTATCCAAATGAAAGTTTTAGATATCATCAAACCGTAAACATGCATAAAAAGAATGTCCAAATCTGACTTCGTATGAGGAAGTTGTGATTTTTCTAAGTTATAGATATAGCAGTAGACAACTAAAAACTCGAAATAGAGATCGAGAGACTTTTGGCCGACACAATCTAAATGAGAATCAAAGGGCTCAACAATACTAGCGTAATGGTAAAAATTCTGACGAAAACGGACGTCGGATGAAGAAGTTATGGAACTTTAACGGACTTTTCCTGTCCCGACCTATTAAAAATATAATATTAAAAATAAAATCAAAACTAGTCGACGGAGTCTAAACGAAAGTTGTAGATCGTAGTCTCACCTTCGCGTGGATATAAAGAACGTCAAAAACCGAGTTCGTATGATAAAGATACGAATTTTTGAAGTTTGCTAATTAATTAAAATATAAATTTATTTAAAACCCGGTATTATCCGAAGAACGAGTCAGCGGTCCGATCCCTCGTACACCCAGCGTACCGTCGTACGCCCAGCGTACTCGGATGCTAGGCTCCGGTTTGTCCACGTCGCTCCGATGCTTCGACCGAGGATGCGGTCATGCATGACGTCTCGTACGCCCAACGTACGCGAGGCTTTCAGCCTCTATAAAAAGGATGCGAGGGTGCCGGCCATTCTTGCTAATTTCCTTCCCTTCTCGCACCGAAGCTCTGCGTTTCAACCTTCGGAGTCATCCCAAAGGCCTGGTTTTCATATCCAAGGTGGGAAGAAAGTTTTACACTCCCGAGACTCCCGAGATTTCCCGAGAATCTCGAGAGATCCGCTTTCTCGAGTAGAAGTTCTGCTCGGTTTTTCTTCACGCTTTCTTCAATCAATCAAGTGAGTTCATACCCCTATAAACTACACTTTTAAATGTTTTATAAATACTTTTATATGCTTTTAAGGGGGGAATACAATTTAAATACTCGATTATTGTCGTGTGTTATATAATAAAGTTCATTATACGCTTTTTATCAACGAAATCATATGTGATTTATAACTAGTATACAAATGGATTTACTACAAGTTTAACAGTTTTACTAAACATATTACTTCAAATGACTTTCTTAAACGTTTTTACACGATTAAAGCTTGTTATCAAACTGTCTTACATACTGTAAGCTTCCTTTCAAACTCGGTTACAAAGGTGTTTTCAAACAGTGGTTTTCCGTGTACTTAAACTGTCTTATCAAACAAAATACTTTCAATCATTTTATAAACTAACATCAAGTCACAAATTCTTTATTAGACTTTTCAACGGTTTTACAAAACTTCTTTATGCTTTTATATTATAAATTGCATGCCTCTATATGTATAGTTATATAAGAAATGTTTAAAAGACTTAGGAAGGCTATCCACCCTATTTTCTTTTCCTCGATTTGGATGTGGTCTGGTGGGATATCGGGTACTCCTCCGAAGGTCGTTTAAATATTAGTTATATATCATGTATACATATATGGTCACAAATGTTCCATCAGTTAATTTAGTCCGATACTCTTGGGTAGCAAGGGTGTATAAACCTACTTGGACACTCATCAATTACATTCTAGTAAATTATTATAGGAATAGTTTAGAGTAAACAAAACATTATCCCTACTACAAGAAATTACACCAGAGTCAGTTCATTCATGAGTCTAGACTACATGCTATATGAAAGAATACTCTTACATGAATACTTATACATGAATACTTTTACATAGACATTATATGGCAAATTACTATTACTTGTTATATGTCTAGATACTGTTATATAGTTCTCCTTTCTATCTTTACCTTGTGATACAATCACATCATCGGCGAGATAGATTGGACTTTATATCCTAGTAGCAAAGGATACTTTGAGGGACTAACCA